CCCCCCAGGCAGTCCTGAACACCCTGGCTCTGCCCCTGCCTGTCCATGCTTGCCTGCAGACAACCTCTTCTCCCCCTCTGCAGCCTAGAAATCTCCTCCCTCAGTAAGACCATCCGCATCACGGCAAAGTCAACCAAGCGCATCCGGGAAGCACTGCAACCTGTGCTGGGGAAGTACGGCGTGAGCATGGAGCTGGTGCTGCTGCGGCGGGTGAGGGCTCGCGCCTTGGTGGGCACAACCCCAGCCTCCTGTGGACAGGATGCTGTGGTGGGGGGACTCCTAGTTTGGGGCTTGGGCCAGGGGCTGCTGGTAGTGAGCTGGTAGTGAGGAGCAGCGCTCTGTGCCAGGGGCAGCCTGCAGGCTTGTGGAGAGTCACCAGTGTTTGAGATGGGCTGTGGCACCCTACCGTGGGTGTGCTCTGCGCTGTGCAGCCCGTGACCTGGCAGGGTCTGCCCAGGGAGCTCACGGGTCCTCAGCCTGGCTGCCTTTGCCATGCTGCAGCAAGCGTGACACCGGCTGGCTCTTCCCATTGCAGCAAGGCGAGCCAGCCCCTGTGGACCTGGAGAAGCTGGTCAGCACAGTGGCTGCTCAGAAACTTGTCCTGGAAACACTGGCAGGTAAAGTGTCCTCCCCCACAAGCCACATCCCTCACAGAGCGATCACAGGGCTAGACTGCTTTCTGCTGGCCATGGCTCCTGCTTCCTGGGATGGGCTCCATCCTGTCACCAGCCAGGCCAGGACCAAGGTGCTGGCACAGGGTGCTGAGCATCACTTACCTTGCAGACGTACGAGTGACGGAGAGTGCCGAGGCTGCGGCCGCCCCCTCCCCACTCCGGAGTGAGGTGAGCTCAAGATCCCACCACCCTGGTCAGAGATGCCCCCATGGCTGCTGCCATGGTCTGTGGGGAAGGTGTGCCCTGCTGCGACCCCAGCACATGCTGCGGGGCTGGGCAGCGGGTGCTGAGGCAGGAGCCAGGCTGTAGGAGGGCAATGAGGATGTGGGCTGGTGGAGAGCTGCCTCCTTGCCCCATCACTGAGGCCTGGGCTACTCATTGCAGGAGGGAAGCCCAACAGGAGCAGAGCCCAACACACTGTGGGAGATGCCTTCCTCCTTCTCCCGGCCCCGGTCTTCAGCTGCCACGAACCTGAACCGCCGCACGTACGACCTGGAAGGTGAGACCTCGCATGTCTGAAAGCTGAGGGGCTGGGGCAAAACATAGGGTGAGGGCATGAGGGACGCAGGACTCCTGGTCTGCTGGTATGGGTGCAGGGTCCTGTGAAGCTGGGGATGGGCTATGGGGGACTTGGGGTCCCCTGGTGTGCTGGGGATGGGCACAGGATCCCATGGATGCTGGCATGGAGCAGGGAGAAGGTGCAGGTGCTGTGCCTGTGACATGTTCAGGGTCACATCAGGTGGAGAGGGCAGCTGAGGTGTTAGGACAGGAGACCAAGTGCCAGGCTCAGGTGCATGACCTGCATTTTCCCCAGGGCTGGTGGAGCTGCTGAACCGTGCCCAGAGCTGCCGGGCCAACGACCAGCGTGGGCTGCTCTCCAAGGAGGACCTGGTCCTGCCTGACTTCCTCCAGCTCCCTGGACAGGATGACAGCACTTGCAAGGGCTCAGATCAGCCCTGCGCCCTTCACCCAGGCTCCGAGGGAAACGGCCATCCTCAGCCCACAGAGCCCACACCAGCTCAGCCTCCGGTCGACCATGAGCTCCGATGAGTCCTGCTGCACGTCTGCACCCGGCGCGTGGTACCCCCGGGCCATGCCGGGGTTCAACACGGGGCCCATCCAGCCTCTGCCCTGCACCGCCGACACTGCCTGGACCGCAGATTCGTCCACGTCCTGTCCCAAACTGTTGTGTCGTGTCACTGTGAGTGGTTGAGCAGCTGCCATGCCCCTCAGTGGGGTTGCATCCTGGTGCACGTCAAGGGAGTCCTGTACATAGTTTGAATCCCTGTTGCAAAGCACTTTGCAACGTCCCACGCATGCCTGGCACTGTCCTGCCCAGTGCCTCTGCCTGCTCTGCCTGCGGCAGAGCTGCCCACCCAGCAAATCCTGCCTGTGCCGGGCTGGCACAGCCCCACTGACTGTTCAGATGGGGAAAGCACCCTTCCAAATGAAGGGTGTGCAGGGTAGAGAGGATGGGTGGGGTGGCAAGGCAGGCTCCAGCCCCAAACCCCGGTGCTGTTGGCAGACAGGGTCAGGAGAATGAGTGTCTGGAGCTGAGGGCTGGATCCGGTCCCTGACCCCGCAGGAACAGGGCTTCCCCCATTGTTGATGTGTGGGTCTACCCTTCCTGGGGAGGGTGAGCATGGCCCTGCCAGCCTGTGCTCTGGGCAGGTTGTTACCGTCTGCATTGCGTGAGTGTGGCCGGGCCTGATCCTGCCACGACAGCACTGCCATTGTGGAGCAGGGCACCTGGTTCCTGCCCCAAGCAGATAGAGGCAGAGCCCGCAGGTCATGCCAAAGAAGCCTTCCTCCTCCCTGCAGGGAGACCCTGCGTAGGCGGCTGCTGAAGCAACCTGCAGGTCGAGTTGCCCATAGGTCCCCTGCCCCGGCCTGGCTGGGGCTGCGGGTGCTTGGCCCTTGGGGACAGGCCTGCTGATGCCAGAGGAATGCAGCACCCCTGGGTGCTGAGCATCTGAGCCTGGTGTGTGGGTACCCAGCAGGTGCCCAGCCTGGCATCCCTGCTGGCAGCTGTGCTGGGCTATAACTTTGAGCCTGGCTCTGCTGGACCTGGCTGTGCTTTGTGGGTCCTCATCCCCAGCAGCCCCATGTCCCCAGAGGTCCCAGACCCAGTCTGCGATGGAGGCAGCCCCTTGACAACAGCCAGGAGATCCCTCCATCATCTGCGTGTGCTGGGGCCCTTCGTGGCTGTGCCCTGGGTCACTGCTCTGTCACCACTGCCCAGCCAGAGGCAGAGGGGTGACCCAGGGCAGCCCCAGGGCTTGCCCAGGGACAGGGGGCATGACCACCCAGCCCCATGCTGCCGCGGCCAGCTGCGGCCCTGCAGCCCCGGTCAGAGCCCCCCTGTGTCTCCGTGGTGCTGCTCAGTCCCGTCTGTGGTGTGAAACCGGGGGAAATAAAGAGCATTGCCTGGATGCGTGTCCCTCTCCTTCCTCCGCTGCTGAGGCTGGACAGTGATTTTCCCAGCAGTGATGTCTCCCCCTCCATACCCCATGGAGCCCCCTCCATATCCCATGGAGCCCCCTCGGGGCCAGGGCAGGGCTGGAGTCAGCCCTCAGCTCCAGTGCCACCCTGCCCGGCAGCAAGGGGCAGTGCCAGGAGCTTGTTTTCCCGGCACCGGTGATGGTGTAGGGAAAGCTGCAGGGCCGGCACGGCCAAGGACTTCAGCCCCAACCCTGTCAATAAGTGACAGCCAGAGCTGCCAGGGCCTCACTGGGTTAATGATTGTGGGGGCAGCTGGCCAAGAGCCCCCAGGCATGGGGCAAGCATGGACACCTCCTGCCCACCACAGCCTGGCACAGGGCTCTGTGGGTGCCACTGGCTGCAGCCCCAGCGAAAAGGGTCCCCAGGCCCTGCAGGGGCAGGACATGTCCCCAGCTGTGGCACCTCCCAGGCATTCACCTCCATCAGTTTGTGATTCGGCAGAGGCTCCGTGATGCTCCAGCAGTGGCAGGGATGTCCCCAGGCTGTCCTTGAGCACCCTGGAGTACCCGAGGGATCTCCCCTTGCTCCTCCCATACAGTAACAGCTGGCTTGTCTATGGTGACGGGTCCTGGGAGTGCCTGACCCTGGAGGAACGGAGATGTGGCAGCTGTGTTGCCCCTCCATGCCCACTCCCCACGGGCACCGGGGCTGGAGGGGCCTTTGGCCCCTGGCTCTCCCCCAGGCAGACGTGGATATGAGCTGGCCGGGCGCCTTGTGGGTGGATGGAAACTTGGCTGGAGGTGCGTAAACAGCGGGTAATGATAAATGGCATTATGGAGGTGGTGACGGCAATGTTGGCATCGCTCCGCTCCTGCCCACCCCAGCATCGCGCATGCTGGGAAGATGCGGGCTCTGCCCCACGCAGCCCTCGCAGTGCTGCCGGCTGCTCTGTGCTGAGCTGCTGGCACGGGCAGAGCTAGGCTGTGTGCCACCATCACCACCAGCAACAAGACACAGGGACCGCACTGGTGCTGATGTAACCCACCACCAATGCCCTGGCAGCAAGGATGGCACGTGCTCTGGGCAGAGCTGGGTCCCTCATGGCTGATGCTTGGATGGCTCCAACGATGGTGGATGTGAGTGCAGCCTCACCTCTGGTTTGGGACACCCTGGCAGCACCAGCACTGAGCCCTCCTCCTCCTCCTCCTCCTCCTCCTCTTGTGCTGGGGATGAAGCAGCTGGCACCAAGTGATGGAGAGCTGAGGCTACTCCGGCATCACCCCTTGGGCATGGGGCTCCAGCACTGCCTCGGCTTTGCTCCCCACTGCACCAGGTGCCGCTCACCCAGGGGCAATGCCAAGCCTCGGGCAGGCGAGGTGGTGTGTGCCAGCGGCACGGCACCCCGGGGGCGTGCGCCCCATCCCGCCCCAGAGCTGCAGCTGACGCGGGATGCCGTGGGGTTACCCATTAACTGCAGGAATTTCTGGGGAGGAGGTGAGCAGCAAGCGGAGGCGAGGGGCAACACGGGACTCCTTAGACTTTGCTCTTGGCGTGCATATAAAGGGCCGCAGTCCCCCGTGGGCTACTTCGCTGGAGGGACGCGTGGATGTGGCATGGGGACATGGTGCTGCCTTGAGAGCCCGGTCAGTCCCAGGTGAGCAAGGCCCTGGGCAGGAGGGGTCCCCTCCCCGTGTCCCCTGCCTGCCCTTGTGAGCTTTCTGGGGTGGCACTGTGGCGGCCAGTGACCCAGGGGACCATTGGGGATGGGATGGTGCTCCTCGGTGGTGCCAGCACCACAGGGATTTGGGGAGCCACTGGCGGTCAGCGCGGCGCAGCCATGGCTCTGCTGTGGTGACGCGCGGCCGCCTCTGCTCAGTCTCAGCAGGAGCGATGCTGCCCTACCGGAGGGAGAGCCCAGCCCTGCCCCGCTGCCCGGTGCGGGGAGGAAGGGTGGTGCACGGGCCCCAGTTCGCCTACTGTCCTAGCCCCCAAGGTAGGTGGCCCCAGCCCTCCTCCTCCTCCTCCTCTCCCTCGCCCTGCTGGGTTCAGCTCTGCTTCTGGCCAGACCGTGGCTCAGGCGGTGCCCGGCTCTCCTGCGCAGGGGGGCCCCTGCAAAGATGGGGCCATAACGCAGGTGCCCCCTCTCCCCAGCTCTGCACCGGCTGCCGGGTGCCCACACCTGCCCCTTCACCGTCGGTGCGGTGCCTTGCCCTGACCATGGCTTCCCCTGCCCCGGCTCCCCCGGGCGCCTGGGCGAGGGCAGGGAGCGGTACGAGCTGGATACGCTGCCCTGGCAGGGGCCCCGGCTGGGCTTGGATGAGCTGCAGAAGCCAGGTGAGACCCCCGGGTGGTGGGCACACAGGTTGGGGAGCACCCCAGAGACCTGCCAGAGGCACCCAGAGGGGCCTCGGGGTGCCAGGACTGGGGCGTACCAGGAGAGCCCCAGCTTTGTCCCTGGGACTGGCAGCAATTCCTCCCCGCTGTCCCGTGGTGCCAGTCCTCGTGCTGGCACCCCAGCTGGACCCCCAGCACAGTGGGCTGCCTGCCGGCAGGACAGACCCTCAGCTCCCTGGGGTTCCACGGGCAGAGGCGAGGGGCAACGGGGGCAGTCAGCACAGGGTGCTCCAGGGTGGGAGGAGATGGAGGGGACCCGGGGAGTGGTGGCACGGCTGGGGACATGTCCCACCAGGGGCACAGGAGGATGGCATAGGGCTGCTGGAGCCCCGGGAGCTGGGGCCATGCTGCGGCCGGTGTTTAACACTCTTTCTTGTCTTGCGCAGAGCTGGGGTGCTGGGCCAGAGTCCAGTCCATCTGTGTCTCCCTTCTCAAGGTGCCCCTGATGTTCGGGTTCCTGTACCTCTTCGTGTGCTCCCTGGACGTGCTCAGCTCTGCCTTCCAGCTGGCCGGAGGTAGGTTGGTGGGGGTGCCTGGGCAGCTGGTGGCACCCACCGTGCTGGCACCCTGCCGCTCATGCTCTCTTGCAGGCAAGGTGGCTGGGGACATCTTCAAGGACAACGCCATCCTCTCTAACCCAGTGGCTGGGCTGGTGGTGGGGATCCTGGTGACCGTGCTGGTGCAGAGCTCCTCCACCTCCACATCCATCATCGTCAGCATGGTCTCCTCGGGGCGTGAGTGCGCCCATGGGGGTCTCGGGGACCTGAGGCTGGGGGACAGGGTGGCTGGATGGGGTCACCCTGCGCCCAGCCATGCGGGGCTAGCGGGTGTCTCTGTCCCCAGTGCTGGAGGTGCGTTCTGCCATCCCCATCATCATGGGCTCCAACATCGGCACCTCCGTCACCAACACCATTGTGGCCCTCATGCAGGCTGGTGACCGCAGTGAGTTCAAACGGTGAGAGCTGGAAGGGGCAGAGGGGACTCGGGGGGCTGGGGGCTGCTCCCCAGGGACCACCCCATGCCAACAGGCTCCTCTGCACAGGGCCTTTGCCGGCGCCACAGTGCATGACTGCTTCAACTGGCTGTCAGTGCTGGTCCTGCTGCCGCTGGAGGTGGTGAGCGGGTACCTGCACCACGTCACCCGCCTGGTCGTAGCCACCTTCAACATCCGCAGTGGGAAGGATGCCCCCGACCTGCTGAAGATCATCACAGAGCCCTTCACCAAGCTTATCATCCAGGTCTTCTCAGCTGCGGTGTCCCCCAGGGTGGTGTCCCCAGGCTGGTGGTAGTCCCCCAGCATTGCTGTCCAAGTGCTGGTGGTAATATCCCCAGCACTGGTGTCCCTTTGATGGTGGTTGTATCCAAGTGTCCCCAGGCTGGCAGTGGTGTCCCCATCCCAGTGAAGATGTCCCTGAGCTGTGGGTGCTGTCAGCCCCCAAGGGCTCTCTCCAACACGTGTGTTGTTGCAGCTGGACAAGTCGGTGATCACGGGCATTGCAATGGGGGATGAGAGCCTGCGCAATCGGAGCCTCATCCGCGTCTGGTGTGGCCTCACACCCCCACAGGTGAGGGGCCCGTGGCCCTGCTGGGTCTACCAAATGATCGCACGGAGGGTGGGTGGTGGGCAGGGGCTGGCCGAGGAGGCTGTGGAGCTGGCTGCTGCCCACCCTCTCCCTGCAGACAGCTGCTGTGGAGATTGGGCCCCCCCCGAACTGCACGTCCCCCGGCCACTGCAGCACTAAGGCCATAGAGAGCCTCCACAACATTACCAGGCAGAAGTGTGAGTGGGTGCAGGGGGCTTGGGCAGGGCTGGGGGGGTACGGGGCTGGGGAGGTGCAGGCGGGGCTAAGGGGCTGTAGGTGGGATGGAGATGTGCTGGGCATGGGGCTGGACTCATGATGTGGGGCAGGGCTGGGAGATGTTGGGGCTGGGGTCCAGGTGGGGGGGTGTCTTGGAGGGGGCAGGTTTGTGAGTGGGGCCGGGCTGGCCCCAGCCCCTTGCCCAGCCATGCTGTGGGACAGGCGAGCACCTCTTCACTGACACACCGCTGCCTGACCTGGCTGTGGGGCTGGTGCTGCTGGCTGGGTCCCTCATCGTGCTCTGCACCTGCCTCATCCTCCTGGTCAAACTTCTCAACTCCCTGCTCAAGGGGCAGGTGGCCAAAGCCATCCAGAAGGTCATCAACACTGGTGAGTGGGACAGGGACCACTGTGGGGTGAGCGGGATGGGACCTTGCCTGCCCCATGGCCACCCAGCCCCATTGCTATCCCCACCTGCCTTCCTCAGACCCATCCCTGGCTGCCCCTAACCCCCATCCCTGCCTGACCCCCAAGCCCCCTGCCTGCCCCTGATCCGCACTCTGCTTACGGCTGTCATGGCCTCCTGGTGTCCACATCCTCTTTCCCCAGCCATCCCAGCCACCAGGCTGGCCCCATACCCACAGCCTAACCCCATACCCGAAGCCTGGCCCCAAACCCACAGCCTGGCCCCACAGCCCCCTCCCCAGCACCATGTAGGAGCTCCGGGCTGCTCCCAGTTGATGTGTCCGTGCCCACATCCATGCTTGTGTCCATGCTTGTGCCCATGGCCATGCCGTGGCAGACCTCCCGCACCCGCTCAGCTGGCTCACTGGGTACTTCGCCATGGTGGTGGGTGCTGGGATGACCTTCGTGGTGCAGAGCAGCTCTGTCTTCACCTCAGCCATCACACCCCTGATCGGTGAGTCCTGGCTATGCCTGGTCCCCTGCCATGTGCTGGTCCCCCCCACGATGGCCTGTGGGTGCTAGGGCACCCAGAGGGGTGGGAGGATCCGTGCCTCCTTGGGACAGTGTGGGGACAGTGCTGGCAAGGAGCAATGAGACAGGATGAGGTGCCTCCCCTGCAGGCCTGGGGGTGATCAGCATCGAGCGTGCCTACCCACTGACCCTGGGCTCCAACATCGGCACTACCACCACCGCTATCCTGGCTGCCCTGGCCAGCCCAGGGGACAAGCTGGCCAGCTCCTTCCAGGTATGGGCAGCCTGGGGCCATGGCCGGGCTGGAGGGGGGCACCAGGCAAGGCAAGGGCCGGAGGAAGCCCACGTGCCCGGCCCAACGCGGATACTGTCCCTGCAGATCGCCCTCTGCCACTTCTTCTTCAATATCTCTGGCATCCTGCTGTGGTACCCGCTGCCTTTCACCCGCCTGCCCATCCGCATGGCCAAGGCACTGGGCGAGCGCACGGCCAAGTACCGCTGGTTTGCCGTGCTGTACCTCATTGTCTGCTTCCTCCTGCTGCCCTCCCTCATCTTCGGCATCTCCATGGCGGGCTGGCGGGCGCTGGTGGGGGTGGGCGCACCCTTCCTCGGCCTCCTTTTCTTCGTGGGGCTGGTGAACGCGCTGCAGGTACGCAGCCCTGGCCGCCTGCCCAAATGGCTGCAGACCTGGGACTTCCTCCCCGCCTGGATGCACTCGCTGCAGCCCCTAGACCGGCTTATCACTCGGGCCACCCTCTGCTGCACTGACCGCTGCCACAGCCCTGAGGGCTGGGAGGAGCGCGAGGGTCCTCGTCCTGACAAGGCCAGGCTGGGGCTGGACAACCCCGCGCTCTCCTACCCTGAGGAGGTACCCAGCCCCGCTGTCCGGGTGGGCTCCCCTTGCCCGCCCCTGCACAGTGCCACCCGGCTCTAGCTGGCACCGGATGCCCGGGCCACCGCTCCCATGGCCACCCAGTTTCCGCCATCCCCGCTCAGCTGGTGTCTAATAAATGCCGAGCGCCCGCGCCCCAGGTGTGTGTCTCTTCACAGAGGCTCTTGCCTCTGCAAACCCTGCTGCAGCCACAGCCGCAGGTGCCAGATGCCCACCATCCGCCCCTGTGGCCATACACCACCACTGCACAGACTGGTCCAGTATGGGTGCCCGATGCTGGGGATGCACCAAACGCGCTGCTGGTGCCATGGGGGCACATGCTGACGATGCCGCAACTAAACCCTGCGGTTTGCAGCCAGCCTGATGTGCCACAGGCAGCATCTTCTTCCACCCGCTTCATCCCCAGAGGGCTGAGCCCGCAGGGTCCATGCTGCACCGCTATGTGCCACGGCAGTGTGTCGGTGATCCGGGCACAGCACAGGGCAGCTGGCGATGTGCTGTGGTGCTGCCAGGCTGGGGTTCAGCGGGATGTCAACTCGGCGTGGTCAGGCAGTGTCCCCAGCCTGCTGGGTACCCCAACGCCCATGGCAGGAGCCCTTTAAGTGTTGGCAATAACTGCTTCTCCCACTGCCCACAGATGCTTGGGCTCCTGCCAGCGATATCGGCCCGTCCCTCCCTCCCTCCTTCCCTCCCGCCCTCCTCCGGGCTGGGACCAGCGGAGTCAGCGGGGCTGCCGTGGGAGCCGCTCCGGGGCTCCCGGCACTGCCGCCGCCCCGCGTGCCTGGCCAGGCGGCCACCGGGCCGGGACGACCTCTGCCTTGCTGCCAGACCGGGTCAGTACGGGAGCAGTGGTGGCCAGGACGCCCCCCCAGGGACTCAGCGATGCCAGGGCTGCGCCACCAGATGCGGCGGGGCCGGTGAGCAGGGCGTGCGTGGCGGGGGGCAGCCCCATGGGGCTTCGTCAGCCTGAAGGGCTGGGCCAGCATGGAGCCAGCCGGCACCCTCCTCAATGCCTCCGGTAACGGCAGCGAGGCTGGCAGCGCCCCACACTCGCCTGCAGCCACAGGACTCATCCTGCTGGCCGCCCTGGCTGTCCTGCTGGCCACGCTGGTGGGCAACGCGCTGGTGGTGGTGGCCATCTCCACCAGCCGAGCCCTGCGGGCCCCGCAGAACCTCTTCCTGGTGTCCCTGGCCTCGGCGGACATCCTGGTGGCCGTCCTCGTCCTGCCCTTCTCGCTGGCCAACGAGGTGATGGGCTACTGGTATTTTGGGGGCGTGTGGTGCAGCCTGTACCTGGCGCTGGACGTGCTGCTCTGCACCGCCTCCATCGGGCACCTCTGTGCCATCAGCCTCGACCGCTACTGGGCCGTCACCCGGGCAGCCCGGCTCAACCTGCGCCGCAGCCCCGGGCGGGTGAAGGGGATGATCGGGGCGGTTTGGGCGGCGGCGGCCCTGGTGGCACTGCCACCGCTCCTGCGGGCCCGGCCTGGGGGCCGAGAGTGCCAGCTGAGCCAGGAGACCTGGTACGTCCTGGCCTCCTGCGCCGCCTCCTTCTTCGCCCCCTGCCTCGTCATGGTTGCCGTCTACTGCCGCATCTACCACCTGACTGCCCGGCGGACGGCGGCCCTCCTCGCCGCTCGCTCCCCGTGCCCCGCCGGCACCTGCAAGAAGGGGCCGGGGGTCAGGATGCCAGGCTGGCGGCACCGGAGCCAGCACCAGAGCGTGTCGTTGTGCCGGCAGCGGCTGGTGCGGGCACAGGAGCGGCGCTTCACCGTCGTGCTGGCCGTGGTGATGGGGGCCTTCGTGCTGTGCTGGTTCCCCTTCTTCTTCACCTACAGCCTGGGGGCTGTCTGTGGGGAGGGCTGCCGCGTCTCCAAGCCTCTCTTCAGCTTCTTCTTCTGGATCGGCTACTGCAACAGCAGCCTCAACCCCCTCATCTACACCCTCTTCAACCGGGACTTCCGTGCCGCCTTCCGCCGGCTCCTCGCCGTCCCCCACCGTCACGGCACCTAGGACCTCACCGGGACACCAAGGACGCAGCCCCCAGCCCCGCTCGCCACTGGCAGCACCCGGCCCCACCGTGGACCCTGGACTGCAGTGCCAGTGTGCATCTTGAGGTACTTTTGGAAACGTGGGGTTTAATAAAATGAGGCCAAAACCTGTGCCCGGGGCTGGCGTCTGCCTTCTGGGAGCCCATCAAGCAGCATCCATCGCCAGCACCCGTTGTCATCCCACCTGTCCTCTTTGCAGCATGGGTGACCCGCTGGTGGTGACAAGTCGCCATGGCAGCTCTGGCGAGCGCCAGTCCTCCCCGCTGCCAGGCGAACCCCAGCTCCTCTGCATGCCTGTGACTGCCAGCATCCTCTTGCGCAGGGGATGGACCCCACAGCTGCTGTGGGGGATGAAACTCCCCACATGGCAGCATCACTTGCACCGGGCTGAGCTGGCCATGCCACTGCAGCAGCCCAGTTCAAGCCCTGTGCCTCTGCCGGGGCTGTCCCCTCTGGCTGCCCATCAGCACGTAGCTGTGCCATCATGCCATGGGGGCCCCATGGAACCACATACACACCCCACAGTGGGATACGAGGGGTGCAGGGCTGGGGTGCGACACCCCACATCCTGCTCAGCGGCTTCATCGGGATCTTGCTGCAGGAAGGAAAGGAGGAATGACATCCCAGTGCTGGAAAGGCCGTCCTCCCTTGGGAGAGTGTGGGAGATGGGACCACATGGGAACAGGCTCTGGTACAGCCTGAGGTGCGAGGGGCCACGCGGGCAACCGTGGGGCGAAGACCCGGGGGCAACCACATCCTCCCAGGGGCAGCAGCCACCCTGCACCCGCCCTGCCTGGTTCCCTGCCCCACTCCGCACAGACACCCGGGGGTCAGGGGCCGCTCCACTTCTCCAGCTTTGCCGCTCAAAATAGAAAATCTCAAAACATTGGACTTTCACTCGGCTAAAAACAGCCGCCGGCGCCTGGGAGCTGGAACCCAAGGAACGCTGGCCCCCACCAGCCCCTGCCGGGGTGGGCACAGCTCAGCCGTGGGGCCCGGGGGGCTCAAAGGGACGGGGGTACTCGCAGCGGTGAGGACCCCTGGGTCATCCCCTGCACCCACTGGCCCTGTGCGCAGAGGGTCGTGGCATGAGTTCTGGGACCAGCAGAGGCTCCCAGCAGGGATCGTGCCAAGATGGGGACCCAGCGCTGACCCCCTGGAGGCAGTCGGCCCCGGCAGTTGCAGCCATGCTGGCACCATCTGCGGAAGAAGCTGCCCTATCGCTGCCGCCTGGCTTCCCCTCCCAAGGCTGCCTTTAGCCTTTTCACAATTATACAGCACTTTGCTTCTAAAAATACCCGGGGAGATGAGGGTGCCTGACGGGGACTCAGCCAGGCCAGCTCGGCTGAGGGAGAGGAGCTCTCCCCCAGGGGCACCAGCCCCATGGGCAGCATGCCGGGGCCCCACCACGCTGCCCTGGCTTGTGTGCTCTGCCCTCACCCTTGCCTGGCCCTTCTCTCACCCTCACCCAGCACTGCAGGGGCTGACCGGGGGACCAGGCACCGTCCCTCCTCCTGGGCATGAGTGTGCGGATCCAGGATGCTGCAGGGCAGGATAAGTTGGGGACCAGCCGGAGTGGGGGCATGCAGGGACCCCCTGCCCTGGCTTGGGCAAGGAGATGCCAGCACAGCCAGCCTGTGCTGGCATCAGAACAACATCCGAGCCACCGAAGGGAGCTTCAGGCTGATGTCCGAAACATCAAATCTCAAGGGCTGGATGGGGTCTGGGAGCACCTGGTCCCCACCTTTGCCCCAGGCACTACTGGGGTGCTGGGGCGCTATGGGCAGAGTTCCCCCATTGAGCATCTCCCACTGCATTGCCATCCAGCACACCACCCTGTCCACAGCAGACGGGTCAGGCAGGTTGCTCTGAATCTCCACAGCAGCCATTTCCATTCCAAGTTTGTACAAAGTCTCTTTCACCTGCTACAGCATGACCCTTATTCCTGCCCTGCTCACGAGCCGCCGTGACCCCAGTACTGCCGGGAAAGCAGCTCCCTTCAAAGTGCTGATTACTCCTGCCCAACTGCAGCACCTGCGCTTGTCCACCTGGAATTGCATCCTGCATTTTCAGGCTGTTTCTCCAATTTCTCAAGATTATTTTGAATTACTCCCCTGATAGGCTTGGGTTTGGAGCCGTCTCCAGCCTCACCTCCTCCACAGAGCTAAAAAGCAGAGTCCTGGTTCCACCACCTGGGCTGCCTCCAGCTGTGTTGGGGACACCAAGACCCCTCTGGACCCTCGTGCTGCCCCGGCAGCACCCTGTGGCTGATAACTCTTGCCAGCGGTGGGAACAGTGCTGCAAAACACCAGCTGGGAGGAAACAGAAAGTAGCAACCTAAGAGTTAAATATGCAAATGCAAGGAAACAAAGTCATCACATTTGAGGCTCAAAATAAGTATGTGCCACCTTTAAAAGGAAAGCAGCTCTAAAAGAAAAAAGCTCACAGCGTGAGCTCATCCCTCATGGCAGAGTGACATGGGAGATCACCTCCGAGGTATGGCAGGGCAAAGCATCCTCCTCCTCCTCGTTATCACTGTGGGTTCGTAACCAGAAGATGCGACATCTGATCTCCAGCGGATGCTGAAGGGCACGGTGGACTACAGTCAGTACTGACTGCACAGGCCACGAGTGCTTGCAATAATTTGTGTTGTTATCGTCAGCCTCGCTACAGCCTGAGGACATGAACCCCTTCCCTCCTGCTTGCTAGCACGGCCTGGCCAAGCAGCGCTCAGGAGCCCAGGCTGGTCCCCACCAGCAGGTTGCCATTGACAGAAGCCGGTGGAGGGACCTGCCCGTCACCCCATGCTCCTCCATGTCCTGGCCACCACCAACCTTGTACCTGGGGCAGCCCCACGCAAGGCAGGAAGGAGGCATCACCTGTGAGCTGGAGCAAGAGACGGCAGAGGTGACATCTGCACACGAAAGCCAGGAGCAGAAAGCAGGGCAGGCACAACTTGCTAACGGGTAAGAGGGTTCATGAGCGGTTTTACACCTAGGAGAAGCAGGGAGCTGGGCAGGTCATCTGCAGGGCTGATGGACCACCAAGGGGTGCTTGAGTAAGATTTCTCTGCAGAGAAATCAATGACTTATTTGCCGGGGAGCAGGCGGGGGGAGACACCACAGCTTATCTTCATACAGGGTAAGGCTGCTAACTGAAGTACCAGTAAAAAAAAAAAAAAAAAAAATGCTTTTAGAGCAAATCATCAGAGGGAAGAAGCCTGCAGGAGCAGCAGCACTTACTGAAGAGCCCAAGAAGAGCTCAAACATCGGAATGGCACACGACCAGCCACCGACATCAGCCCCAGCAGGACGAGGCTGGCAGCACCGCATCCCCCCACCGCCGAGGGCACCGGGGGATGAGGAAACCCCAAACCTCCACGGCAGGAGCGACTGGGGAGACCGGGCCCCGCACCAGAGCTTGCGTCACCCGCCCCGCAGGGATTGACCAACACCGGACACGCAGGCGCTTGGAAAATTTTACTGAGGCCATCGCAAACGCAAGGCCAGGCTACAAAGAGGGGGAAGGCTCCCCTAAACACGTAACTGCTTTTAACAGGAGCTCAGGACACCTCAGAGAGGGCCCTGGGTGCACCAGCGGCCGAGCCCCCCGCCAGCCACCGCCACCAACCACCCACGCTCTCTCTGGAGACCCGCCGCAAGCCCCGCCTTATTAAGCAGCCGCTCGGCCCCACCCCCCCAACGCCCCTATCACGACGCAAGCTGGAGCGGAGTGGCAGCTCTCCACCCAATCAGATGCTGCAGAAGGCAGGCCTCTTCATGTGGTGGGCGCCCGTTGACCCTCGCCCAATCCGTTCCCGGAGCGGCGGCTGCGCTCCCTGAGTGACACCTCGCCCTCCAGTCAGCACCCGCCCCCTCTTCCCGGCAGGGCTTCGCCAATGGCCGCCGACTGACGCGCGCTTCTCTCTCCCCGCCCCGCC